TGGTCATTGTCGTTCGTGTCGACGTTGAAAATGTCGATACTCACACCCGTGGCAGGATCCTTGACTCGGTGGACGTAGAAGCGGCCGTCCATAGCCCAGCGGTTGTCGTTCGGACTGGTATACTCAGATTGCCACTTGAGCTTGTTCTCGAGTCCTTGATACAACTCCGCCGTGTTGTTGCACGGAACGAGCTTATCGCCACTGCTGCAGATGTAATCAGAACCGCCGTAGTCATGGTTGCCCATGACAGCCACCCAGGGGACATTCTTGATGTTGTCTCCATCGTATTTGGCCTCAAATGACGCGGCAAATCGGCTATCACGTTCACCGAGATAGTTGATGCCATTCCAGTAGAAGTTGTCGCCATGAGCAAGAATGGCCTCGGGTACCATGGAAGCTCCAGCTTCCATGTTCATCAAGCTCGCCACAACTTCCTGAGAATTGAGATCGTAGTTCGTGGAATTGCTACCACAGCACGAGCCCTTGTATAATGTCGCTCCCCAGTCCCCGATGCCGAAGACCGAAACGGAGTATTTCGCCTTTGCCGGATCCGACGCCGGAGTCGAAGGCTGGGCTGCCGTAAGCCCCATCTTCATCGGCGTTCCACTCGAACCACCCATTAAGGCTAGCAGCGCCGCAGCGTTCACCAACGTTTTGTAGTTCAGCATTTCTTTCTTCCAGTCACTGGGTTGGGGGTTGCTCTGCTCTAAGGAAAAATGAAGAATGGAGTTGAAAGACAGCCAAAGGAGTAAACTGGAGTTTACGGTACCTGTTACCGTCAAGTGCAAACAAACATACGATCGAATCCTACCACTGGACTGTATGGCAATTCCGTTTACGCACACAGTCCAATTCTTTGTCACCCTTACTCACTCGGATTTGACAACACCCAGGTGGTCAGATCACCAACCATATCTCGCGATTGTGATTGGTACATGCAGCAGTTCGTCGTCATTGTTGCCGTGACGTGCTTGCGTAGTGTATTGACGTAATTGGAAAGCGAACGAATGATCACGATACTTCTCCTCTACGGGTACATGAACACCACTACAATATATTGCAATCATCGATTGAGAGCACTTCTAAATCGAGATATATGGGAAGATATTTTTCGGGTCGCGGGAATGCGCCGTACATTATCGCCCTACACGGAAACAATCTTTTCGCTACCGGCGTTAACCGCAAACAAAACTTGAAGATGCTAAAAAGTGTCGGGGTGTTGGTTAGCGTTTTGAGTCTATCGGGGGTTTAACCCTAGAGAACGACTAACACCAAGTGTAACTCGGGGTTTATGGTGACGAATGCCGTCACGATAGTGGTATGACGTTTGCGCGCTTGAGAGAATGTTGCGAAGTGAGTTCCATTAGAGAAGCAGTATTTAGTCCTGTTCCTACTTCCACTGTTGGTATACAGGGGAGCGTGACCCACGGCACAGCTCCGCAGCACCAACCGTTGGTGCTTGATGACGAACTCCGCCGTTGACGCGGCGTTCGATTACAAACTTGCAGTAGATGGGGTCTTTCTCGGGTGTCGGTAAGGGGCCAAACTAAAGAGGGCCATTTCTAGGGAGGGCCATTTGTAAAAAAAAGGGAAGTATTCGGTGTTATGTGCATAAATGCCAGAAAGAAAAACACATGAAAATTTGTTTTGTTGTCATTGCATCGAGGTATACAAAACTCAATATGTTTCAAAATCGTGTCCGTTGCAGATTCACTTAAAATCCACTGTGTGTGACAGCATACAAAAATCAAGTTGTTTCGAGGTGTGTCCGTAGCAAATAGGCGTGTCCGTTGCATTTTCAAAATGGCGCCCAAGCCAACACTCCCTGCCTGCGGCTACCTAGTAGCATACCTCGGATTGTCCCCGGATACGCTTAAT